AAGAACTGAACCTACAAAAACAAAAACAAACAAACAAAAAACCTGTACCTACACGGCTAGACGCGGTGGCACACAGTTACATAGAAAAACCATTTATGTAAAAAAAAAAAAAAGAATTAAACCTAGTGTATATGCTTGCTAGGCCAGCACTGTACCATAGAGTTATGTCTCCAAACCAAAAGTATGTTATCTCTTAGAGAAGGCACCTCTAATCTGTTTAGAATAAGCAGATGGAACTCTGGTTTCTAAGACCAAAGGGAATAGAGTATAGCCAGTCATTGTGCCATTGTGCTTGTATCTGTCACAGTCTTATTACATAAAGACAGAACCTATATTTTGTCCTTCGATAGATTAGTTCACTTTTTATACAAGTACTTTCTTCAGCCTGCCATTGGTATATCTTTTTTCAGTCATAATGAACTAATTAGCAAAACATCTTGGAAATTACTATATTGTCTCTTACCCAGGTTACTAAAGTGGTTGTTTTTACCTGGGATGTCTTCCATTAACTTCAGTACCCATTTTCATACCTCCTACCTTTCCCCAGAGATTTAATTTACACCACTGTCTTCAAGAAGCCTTTGAATCTTGCCAGTCTTCTCCTCCAGTTGAATTTTACCTTTTGTCTGCTTGTTTCCTTAAGTATTTATACCATAGCACTCACCTAATTGTGTCTGAAGATTAGGGTTTTATTGGAGTGAAAGATTGTGTAATTTTTCTCTTTTTTTCTTGCTGTCTGAAATGAGAACTATGTGTAGCCCTGTATCTTCTTGAACTCATAGAAATCCACCTGCCTCTGCCTCTGCCTCTAGAGGGTTGGGATTAAAGGTTTGTTCTACCATGCCTGATCTCACCAATTTTGAAATTATTTCTAGTGACATAGTAGTGTTATGTATTTGGCTGTGAAAATTGAGCAAGGAAAATTGAAGTAAATCCTTAAAAAATATCTTATGGTAAAATATCATTTCTTAATTGGCCATGATGATACCTAATTCTCAGTTATTTGCAAACTCCAAGTCCGTAAGTTTAGCACTGTTAGTTTTAAGATGACTTTCTTTGCAAACCAGCCTTTTCTGCTTGCCTCCCAAGAAGACTGATTATGAAAATGTAGCAAATACAAGCTTTTCCATTCGATATCTCCTAACAGGAGTCAGAAGGATAGAAGTGTCCTTCAGTTCCTTTCTCATATATTGTTACCTAAATGAGAAAAACGATTAAAAACAACCAGTTTGGGTAGGTACTGTACTTTGAAAAAAATGCACCTTAAAGACACAACCAGACATTGTTGAGATTGGCCATAGGAAGAACGTGACTCCCATTAATTTTTTTAATATTTATTTATCTAGTATGTATACAATATTCTGTCTGTGTGCATGCCTGCAGGCCAGAAGAGGGCACCAGACCCCATTACAGATGGTTGTGAGCCACCATGTGGTTGCTGGGAATTGAACTCAGGACCTTTGCAAGGGCAAGCAATGCTCTTAACCTCTGAGCCATCTCTCTAGCCCCCATTAAATTTTTTTTTCTGTGTGTACTCCTGTGCAGGCTTACATATGCTATACCTCATGTTTGGAGGTTAGAGGATACCTTTCAGGAGTTTGTTTTTCCCTTCCACTGAGAATTCCTGGACTCAAGCTCAGACTGTTAAGGAAGTACCCATTTTACTTAGATCCAGTGTATGTGTGTGTGTAAGCCGATTAACTTTTTTTTTCAATCACCATTTACAACCTGAGGATAAAAAGGAGCCATACAGAATTGTGATTTGAATTTATATATGTTTGGTTCCAAAACCCAGGTTTTCAGCCACAGTACCTCAACTTTTTTGTAAAAGCTTCTTCCAGTCCTAGAATTCTGGACTAGTTGACATTATTATAATGGTAAAAACCTAAGTTTTGTAGTATGATGTATTAAGATTCTTTGAGAAGTATATCCCCACCAACCTGACCATTTCTTTATCTTCCTGTTTGTTGGGTGGTTGTTTTGTGTGAAAGGGTCTGTTTTTTGGTTTTGAGACAGGGTTTCTGTAGCCCTGGCTGGCCTTGATCTCACAGAGATTCACCTGCCTCTGCCTCAAGTGCTGGGATTAAAGGTGTGCGCCACCATGCTCGGTTTGATAGTGATTGTTTTGTATTCCCAAACTTCCTTGCCTTTATACATTCTCATCCTTCTAAAGTGCCCATTCTGCCACTTTTGTCTGTTCTTTAAAATTCTAATTAGAGATGGTAAGAAAACTCACCTTCAAATTCTATTAGCCATCTTTGATATAACTGATGTATTATTGTATATATTGTGTATACAAGTAATTTGAACAAATAATAATGCTTGATTCTTTAAAAGAAATTTGGTATCTGGATTAGTGTAATACATAGTTGATGATAGTCTCTGGATGATGATGTCTCTGGAATGAAGGAATATTTGAATTAGTAAACTAATATTTTATAATACTTTTTTTTTCCTTGTTGTAATGCAGAGCCACGATTTCGAGCACTCACTCCTCCAATTCCATGGGAACATGCACCACGTCCCCATTTCCCCCTTGTCCCAGCTTCGTGGCCTTATGGTTTGCATCAAAACTTCATGCATCAGGGAAATCCAAGATTTCAACCCAACAAACCCTTCTACGCTCAAGGTACCAGTACTTACAAATCAATTATCAAACTGGGTGGGTATTCTAAAATGGGAATCTCAGTGGAGGCTAGAATCTAGGAGTAACATTTGCATTCAGTAAATATTTATTGAGAGCATATTGTATGAATATGCCAGACTATATGCAGTATTTATTGTCCAAGCTGCCCATATTAATGCACAGTTTAATAGGAGAGCCAAGCATGGAAAAAACAGACAAAATATTGTTTAGAAGAATGAAGTCACCTAGTCCCTCCACTGGGTAGGGTTTAGGTACTAGAGATTGCATCTGAATTCCATCTTGTAATATGAGAACTATTTATTACTCTAGAATGTAGAAGGAAGGAATGTGCTCTTAGTTAAGGGAATACATATGCCACTGAATTTTGGGTGACATAAAAAAAGAAATAACCAGCCAGGTGTGGTGCTTGCTTTTAATCCCAGCTCTTGGGAGGCAGAGACAGAGGGATCTTTGTGAGTGTGAGTGAGGTCAGCCTGGTCTACAGAACGAGTTCCAGGACAGACTCCAGAGAAATCCTATCTTGGGGGGCGGGGGGAGTAGTCTCTCAGGAGGGAGTAACTTTCCTGATCTGTGAACTGCTGGATGCTGGATACTTAGATAGAGCAGCAGTTCTTAACCTGCTTTGGAGATCAGGTAACTTTCACAGGGTTTGCCTAGAACCATCAGAAAACACATTATGATTCAGCACAAAAGCAAAATTAAAGTAGCAATGAAAATAATTTTATGGTTGAGGGTCACCACAACACGAGGGACTATAAAAGGATTATAACATTAGGAAGGCTGAGAACCACTGGTATAATGTGAATGGTAAAATTGACTATGGTTGTTGAATTTATCTCTTGAGCAGAGCTGTAGAGGAAGTCGTGAGAAAAGAGTTTGCAGTTTTTCTGTGTGGGTTTTCTTTTCCCCCTTCTTTTTTTTCCTCTCCCCTCCAATTGTTTTGTCCTGCTTCTTTTATTATAAGAATTTTTAAAGCACTGTGTAACTAGTATCTTAGTTTATCTTAATGGACTGTGAGGTGAGTAGGCACAAGCCTTTCAGCCTGCTGTCTGTGTTATTTCCAGCAGACAGATGTGCTGCCCGTCGCTGTAGAGAGCGTTGCCCCCACCCACCAAGAGGAAACGTGTCGGAGTAATGGCAACCCACAGCAGCCAGCCAGTCCTGCTGCCTCAAGGGTACCCGTACCTCAGTGTCAGTTACACTCAGCTGAAAAAGTGACATTTAAAGAAAGCAAAACAAATCAGGTCCTGATTTAAAATTTTCACACGTTTAGATAGCTTATTTAAATTCTAAGACTGTTTTTAAACACTGTATTATTTGTATATAAATATGAACTATAGTTTTTACTGGTATCACTAAAATAAGTGATACAAATTTCATCTATTTTATTACCCTATTTTTAAGGGAGTTTTATGTTTTGTTTAACCTTGATGAATTGTATAAAGAGAGAATTTAAAAAATTACATTCTTTATTTTCTATTAGCTGTATTCATACTTTGGTTGCTCCAGACTTTATATATATTGTTCTTAAGGATTAGGGAAGGATTTCATGTGTTTTAAATTTGTCACTTCTATTCTTTACAGAATCTTGTAGTGCCAAAACTTTTTAAAAGGTCAAAAAAAAAAAATAAAATTACAACAAAGATTCAAAAAAATTTTCTTTTACATACTTGTATGTTGAATATATTCAAACTTGAATGGAAAGTTGCTTTTGTCTGTATTTTGAAGTTCTATTTTAAGTTAATAAATCTTTTTGACAAGAGTCAAATTTGGTTAATTCATCTGGTTTAGATGATAGGAATATGTTGTAATAATGGAAAGATTTTACTTTACAGTGACTTATAAATCAGATTTAGTTTTAGAGATTTAAAGGTCTTTTCTTTCATCTTATTGGATTTTCACAACTACCATATGAAGGTGACAGAAGCAGGTACCATGTCCATTTTATCATCGAAATGAAAACTGCAGAGCAGAACAGTGAAGCGAAATAGAAAGGCAACAATGTCATGCTACAGTTTGACTCAAAGTAGATGAGTTGCAGATAGCTTTCCTACTTTGTGCAAGACACTGGGTTCAGTCCCTAGCAATACTTTTCCTCCAGCCCATCCCCACCTCTACAACCCCCCTGTTGCCGCCAGTCTTTTAAAAGGAGAGGAAATTTTTTTTTTGGTGAAGAAATAGTATGTGCCAGACTGTCCATTCGGAGTCCTGGACAGACACTTGCCAGGATTGTTACTTTTTATCAATACTGGTGATCAGTCATTAGTCTTGTAGCTGCTGGGATGTATTCTCAGAAATACATGATGTGGTGATGTCATCATTGTTCAAACATCAGAGTTTGCTTAAACTTAGATCCTGTCAATCAGTTTATTTGGCGTCTTGTTGCAATTAGCAGGCACACAAACATGAGATGTGTGAGGCGGCTCCCAGCAGAATATATCACACCCTTAAAGTAATAGAAACGCTTTTAACTACACAAACATACACTTTATGAACTATACACAAGTGTGGGTGCTGTACCTTTTTATAACTGGCAGTACAATAGGTTTGATAGACTAGCTTCACCAGTGTGTGGTATATAGGTAGTTCTGAGTTAAAACACCTGCAGTACGAATTTTCAGCCCCATCATTATAGGCCATGAAGTTAGTCATCAAGCAAAATGTTTTCATAAAATGTGTGGATATTGAAATTTAGTGGCATATTTTTTAGCTATTCCTTTTACAGTGAGTTAATTTTTTTCCTAGTCCCTAAATTAGATTTGCCAAATAAAACTACAGATGTTTGCAAAAACTAAGTCTAATTTTAAGGATAGAGTGTGTTATTTTTGTTCTGCTTCCTCAGGTGTTTTATTACTTAAATAAGAGACTGGGCTTTTGCTGTATTTTCCACTTGGAATATTCCTTAAATGCTGGTGGTTGAGGATATCCCTGCCATATTTACAGCCCCAAGTTAAGGACAGGTATATTTAATGGTTTTGGTTTTTTACATTAGACTCAAAGTGGTGTCAATTCTTTTGTTAATAATATACCTGATCTCCCCGTACTTCTGTGTTAAAAACAACTTGGAGCATCCTGCAATCCCATCATTCTCTAGGTGGAGGCAGGAGGATTAAGAAATTCAAGGCCTGTCAGGCTTGATGGTGTACAACTTTAATCCTAGTGCCTAGAGGCAGAAGCAGGCAGATCTTGAGTTTGAAGCCAGCCTGATCGACATAGCAAGTTCCCGGCTAGTCAGGGTTACGTAGTGAGCCTCTCTCAAACAACTGGCTAGAAATTCAAGGTCATCCTCTACTACCTAGAGCTCCAGGCCAGCCTGAGCTACAAAAGACTTTAAATAATAAAAATAATTAGATAATATAGTATTTTAAACATTGAAATATTTCATCAAGAGATTAAGAGGATGATATTCTTTTCACTGTTCTTTCTGCTTTTGTGTATATTTAAGATTTTCACCAAAAACAAAAAACCAAAGAAACCCTTTTAAAAATTCCAACAAGGCAGCATGTTAGCTCAGCCCCCCTTTCCTGAAGGCAGCGTATTATTAACCCAGATTTTACTACTCTGACAGTGTAGTAAAACTGTGTTCTAAACTGAGGAACAGAATATAATTTACACAATAGCTCAGTTTTGTCTGAAAAAAGCAGTTAATAGTTAAAAAAAAGATCAGTCCTATACACACTCTTAAAATGATATTTTTTGATAGAATTTGTATGCCATTTGACATGAAGGTGGTTTTACCTTGGCCCATTAAGATTATTAAAACTTGGATGGGCCGGGTGGTAGTGGCACAAGTAGTTAATCCCAGCACTCGGGAGGCAGAGGCTGACAGATCTCTGTGAGTTCAAGGCCAGCCTGGTCTACAAGAGCTAGTTCTAGGGTAGCTAGGGCTGTTACACAAAGAAATCCTGTCCAAATAAATACATAAATAAAAACTAAAAATTGGATGGGCAATAGTGGTGCCCGCCTGTAGTCCCAGCACTTGGGAGGCAAAAGCAGGCAGATCTCATTCAGTTTGGGGGCAGTCTGTACAAAGCAAGTTTCAGGACAGCCAGGACAGTTACACAGTGAAACTCTGTCTTGAAAAACCAAAAATAAATAAGATTATTAAAAATCACACTACTAGCTGCATGTGGTGGCACACACCTTTAAACCCAGTACTTGGAAGACCTGGGCAGGTAGGTCTCTGTCATAGCCAGCCCTGTCTATATACCCAGTTCCAGGCCAGCCAAGGCTGCTATAATAGTGAGGCCCTGTAGACAATTTTGCTGTTTTCTCCTGTAAATAAAATGCATGCATAGTAATGGGAAAATAATGCTGTTTGTTTGTAGATTTACTCTAGTTGAGTAAAAGGATGAACGTTTTTCAAACATTTTCATGTTGGGAGTACAGGTGCCCTGAGTCTAAAAGAGGGTGTTTAATCACCTGAGTTACAGGTGGTTGTGAGCTACTTGATTAGATGCTAGGAAGTGAATTCAGAGTCTCTGCAGGAAGCAGTGTCTTCCATAAAAATGATTCCCAGATAAAACATTAAGCTGCTAACTCACTTTTCCTTGTAAATGATAATGTGATGTGTTTACTGAAAGAAAAGGTGTTAAAGTTTAGGGCTAGTAAGATGACTAAACAGCCACAGTTTAGTTTCTTGATGAAGAAAACAGGGTATCACATATTACTTGTGTGTGCACAGACAAATGTAAAGCAGTAAAATCTGTCAGTTAAGAATTCTATTATGTGGTGAACTTGAATCATTCTAGTGAATTATCATAAGTGCATATGCACAACGCTTTTATAAAGTGTGCTTATGTGCTGTCTTAAACACAGCTACGGAACCCATGCTTATCTCCTGGAAACGAATTCACTAGACTTAGAAGACGGCTAGGAAATTGAAATGACAACTGTTTCTCCATACAAGAAAGCCAAATTTCAAGATTGCTCTCAAGACTAAGGACAGTTATATAAAACAGAAGATGCAACTTTCATTTTGCTTGCTTCATGTTTCTCTTAGAAGTCAGTATGCTTAATATAAAAAGAAATGAACAAAACCTTTTTTTTCCTTCACCCTTATTATTGGATATGTATATGCTGGTTGCATGTGAAGAGCCAAGGAGTGGAGTGACTTAACCTCATATGACCCAGGGTGCAGTTCTCTGGTCTTTGTTTAAGACTCATATCACACTACTGGGCAGTAACAGAAAGAGGTCAATGAGGCTACATTGGGTTGTTCTAATACAAATCTGCCACTTTTCCCTCAGAAAACACATCTTGCTTAATTTATTAATGTTAAAGTCCTTGTGTTCTATGTAAGCTTTTAAGGAACTGGATTTCAAATTGTGGAAAGTGAAATCCACATAGTGGTTTAAAAATCTTAACTATAAGAACTGGAACAATGGCTCCATGGTTAAAAGCATTTGAGCTCAGTCATGAGGAGTAGGGTTTGGACCCCAGCTCCCAAGTCAGGTTACTCACAAATGAAATCACCAGCTTCAGGTGATCCAACACCTTTTTCTGGCCCCTATCAGCACCTGTACACGTATTACCTCTGCACTAAGAGACATGCACATACACGAATCTTTTAAAAAAAAATTCTTAGTAAAACTAATATGAATACATTTTGCATTATTTGATTTTTTTTGTTTGTTGTTTTCCTGAGAAAGGGTTTCTTTGTGTAGCTCTGGCTGTCCTGGAACTCAGAGATCTGCCTTGAACTTAGAGATCTGCCTGCTTCTGCCTCCTGAATTCTGGGATTAAAGGCGTGTGCCACCACCACATGGCCTGCATATTTTTTCTTAAAGCCTGTTTCAGCACAAAGAATATATGCATGTGTACAGCTGAGATGTAAAACATATTTCTAAGACTATGTTGTAACCTAAGAATTTCAAAGCTACCATTCAAAGGCCTCATGTAATAATAAGTAAAACAGGTGACAAATCTATCCTTCAAATGTCATCTCTGTAATTCTGTGGTTTGTCAGAATTGTCTTCAATATTCAACATATCCTACTCACCCTTATTTTTATTTCCTTTGTTCTAACTAAGTAGCAGGAATGGTATGCTTCTTGCTGCCCATGGATCCAGATTCTACCATATCTAACGTATACTTTTGGAAAGGTTTCTCTTAAAATATTGTTGGGTCTTTCTGTTGTAAGTTTATTACTTAAATTTACCTTAATATTAAAACTTAAACTGATGGTGCTTGGTTGGCCCATGAATCATTTTGCCAGAGGCATCTTTTTCCACCTAAATCACCTCAGTAAGAAATTACTAGGAATCTCTACCAGACCTGAGTGGAGATATATTTAATTTTAAAAGCCACAAAATATAGTTGTAGCTATAAGCTATAATAGGTCTTACAACTTTATTAATTCCCTTATTAATTTAGGTATCATGGTTAGAGGAATCAGCAAAGAATATGAAAGTGCAAATTGATAAAAACTGCTTTAATATTGCTACAGAAGTTCCCCAATCAACAGCAAACAATAGAAATGTTTATCCTAGGACCAGCTATGACTTCCTGAGAAGCTGGATCCTATAAGGCAGCTGGTCTTTACAGTTCTTCCTAGGCTTATAGTGACAAGAAGTCAGTCATTTCTACCCTCTTAAAGGAGGAAGGTAAGTACAGGCAGAAGGAATTGTTTTAGCTAATACAATAATACTCTCTAATATCAGTATTAAGCCTATGGACTTAGTAAAGCTTTTATTTTGCTTCTATATCTTCAGACCCTTCAGTGTCCTTGACCTACTGATTCTACCTTTGTGAATGGCTCATTCCAGTATTTACTAGGTGACCTGTATTACTAGTCACAAATGTTGGCATTGCCTATGGTGCTGCTGTTCTTAAATCTACTGATACTCCCTGGGCAACTAACCGTCTTTGACAGTTGTCAGTTCTGGCCTAGATCATCACGCTGAACCCTACTAGTCCCTCTTTCTATCCATGTAGAAATACTGCAGCGTCTTAAACAGAGTGTGTCACTTTCGTTACCGTCACAACCCTCTCACAGCAACCTAGGTGAAAACTACACAGCGTTCTGCTTCAGCCTGTGCTGACATTACAGGTGTGAACCACCATACCTGGCTTGTATAAAGGATGTTAATTGCAATCATGTTGAATTGTTTAATGAAACTGAATTAAAAAAAATACAGAAAAACTTTCACGTTTGAATGTATTCTGTTCTTACAAAACCGCTAACTAGTAACTGTTTATTGTTACTGCTGCTGTCTGTAGTCAGTGCTTCACTAGCTGGGTCGAAGCAGCATAAACCATTGCACTAGAGATAAATGACAACTGCATCAGGTTTAATTACAAATAAGAAAAGAGTCTCCCGTGAACTACATCTCTTCATTGTCCTGAATCTCCCCAACTCCCAGGTCCTCTCTAACCTTGGTAAGTATGAATACCATAGTTGGTTAGGTCAAAACCTGACCTTGATTTGGTCAAAGACATCCTTCAAAGATGTTGATTATAATTCAAAGAGATACAAAACCTAGCACCTCTATAATGTTAAAATAAAAACAAAACAAACAAGAACTTGATTTTTAAAAACCCCAATACTCATAGCTGTCTGATCTTGAACATTTCCCTTTAACAGATATTCTCATATTCACAGGAAGCCATCTGGACTAAAAATGAATCCATTACTCATTTCCTCTCCGGCTCTTCTTGTGGCTTTTCTTAGACCTGAAATGAGATGATAATAAACCATTAAATTAAGGAGCAAACAAGGAAGACAGACATTCATCGTATGCTGACAATGATGAATAAAGATGATGCAAACTAATTAGGTGCACTTTGTGTGTTTTGTTGACGGCCTCCCACTTTTGCCTCCCCGGTGCTGAGATTACAGGTGTTTATCACCTTACCCAGCACAAATTTATTTGTGTGTGTGTGTTGCATGCCTGCAAATGTGCACATGCGCTGAGTGCATACACGTGTAGAGGCTGGACTCTGACCCCGTGTCTTCCTCGAGTGCTCTTTTGAGGCAGCATGTGCTGCTTAGTTTTATTTTATCAACTTGACACTCGGCTGGGAAAAGGAATCTCAACTGAGGATTTCTCTACATTAGACTGGCCTTGGCCATGTCTGAGAGGTTGTCTTGAATGATGTAGGAGGGCCTAGTCCACTGAGGGTAGCACCATCACAAGGTAGTTGGGGCTAGGCTGTGTAAAACTAGCCAGAGCGCAAGGAAGTAAGCAGCTTTCCACCATGGTTCCTGCTTGAATCCCTCCCTACCCTGACTTTCCTCAATCACAGACCGTTACCTGGAAGTATAATTTGAAATAAACCTATTGCTTTGGGTCATGTTGTCTATCCCAGTAACAGAAAACAAGACAGATATCACAATGGAAACTATAGCTCAAAATGAAGCTAGTCTAGACAACCAGCTTGTTCTGAGGATCCTATTCATAGTACTGGGATTCAAGGCAGTGAAAATCACCTGCCTAGCTTTTTAAGTGGTTTCTGAGGATTTGGACCCCTTTGCACAGCAAGCACTTTTTCCTTTGAGCCACTGAGATCCTATCAGGATATTTTTTGTTTTTGTTTTTAATGGTTCTGAACAGCACTATGAGCCAAGGATGATATTTAGAATTTGCCACCAAACAACTGCTTCATAGGTTAAGAATGTACCTAATGGGGTACATGGCCCACAACGTTCTAATAAAGATGAATTAAAAATGACTTGTTCAAGGACTCAACTGTAAAGTTTTAAATGTTAGTTCTTAGGCTAGAGATGGCTCAGTGGTTAAGAGCAGGCACTGGTATAGAGGACCTAAGTTCAGTTCTCAGCACCCACATTGCTTGGCTCACAAAAAATACATACGCAGTTCCTAGGGATTCTATACTTTTGGCCTCCACTGGCATCTTATGTGTATGCAGATAAACACATATACACAATTAAAAATAAAAAAGCCCAGAACCACTGAGACCACCATTCAAAGTTTTTAATTCCAAGAAGGGAAACAAGGTGCAAAAGAAATTGGCAGGGGAGGAGGGGAGCCTATTTTACCTTGTAATGAACTACAATACCCACATCAAAACAAAATTCCCCATCTAGGTTATATTTAAAACTTTAACTAGTGAATAAAGATTTGAATGTGTGCATGTGCACACGTGGAAGCCAGAGGTAAACATCGAGTGTCTTTCTAACTCACTCTCCACTTTTTTTTTTTTTTAAGATTTATTATGTATACAACATTCTGCCCCAATATTTGCCCACACGCCAGAGGAGGGCACCAAATTTCAGTACAGAAGGTTGTGAGCCACCATGTGGTTGCTGGAAATTGAACTCGGGACCTCTGGAAGAGCAGCCAGTGCTCTTAACCTCTGAGCCATCTCTCCAGCCCCCTCCACTTTATTTTTTGAGACAGAGTCTCACTGAACTTGAAGCTGGCTGATTGGCAAATTCAATGGGTCTGTCTTCCTCTCCAGCAGTAAGATTTCAGGCGCTTTTAACACAGGTGTTATGGGTTGAATTCCAATTCTCATGCTTGCATGAGAAGCACTTTACCCAATGAGCCACCTTCCCAGCCCAGAATTATTCTTACAGTAGAGGTTTAACTCGTACCTTTCAGGAGACTTTGAGTGACTCCTATGTCTGTGACTACGGTGGTGACCTAGGGAAAAAAAGGTCGTTGGATGAGAGTTTTTGTTTTCTTATTTGTAGGCTATTATTCTCACCTCCCCCAATTCCTTTCACTCACTAGGCTTTGTTGGCCTAGTCTGAGGACACCACTCACTATTACACCTCTTTTGGTTGTTAGTTGTGGCAGGGAATGCAGTAGTGACTTCACAAAACATTACCTCAGGCTTTGACCGATATTATACCAGGTCTTATTTCTACAATTTTGGATAAAAACAAATAACTGTAATCCCTCACTCGAGTCTAATGAGTACTCTCACTTCTGAATCCCATGCCCATCTATCTCCTTTCCTGTTAGGAGTGCCGTTATATATTTGTGTTGAAGGATCTTAATGCTCCTTTTAGATTTCTTTACTAAGACAAGCAGGAAAGAGCCCAAATACTATACCTGGGGATTTAGAGCGGGATCTGTGTCGTCTGTCTCGGGACCTGCTTCGATGGCGTCGTGGACTCTTGCTCCTATGTCTTTCTCGGCGGGGAGAAGGGCTATGGAAAAAACAGCCAGCTCAGCACGGTCCCTTCTCAGAACCCTCTTGTTAGAAATGACTCAGGACCTACCTTCTCCTTTTGGGGGATCTACTTCGCCTGTGGGAAGAGGAAGAGCAGGTTAGTGCACTGGATCTTGTAAATAACAAAAATAAACACATAAAATTTACTCGTTCTGGTTTTTTTTTTTTTTAAAAGAGGGGAGGAGTGCCAGGGACTGAACAATGGCCCCTGACCTGATTCTTTCTTGTATCTATGTCTTAAATGTAGTACATGTCAACTTCTAACACTCTAGCTGTGCAATTTAGTTTTACCAAGGTGATAATAACAGACATACATATACGAGAAAAACACTTGCAGGAAGGATCTGTTGTGTCTTGTATTCTGTCACCATCTTCAAAACATAACCAACTTAACCTACTGGAGGACGGGAGGCACAGAGAAGCTCTACTAGCCATCCTTATTAAGGTTACTCTACTCTCTGGGAAATACATTAATCACAACAGGTAAGCAAAGAAACTCAATTGTATATCCAAGGCTAGCTTAATTCACTGACCACAAGCTAAGATTAAAGAAATGGCCTTTTCCCTCTGCCAATGAGGTTTTATGGGTGATGATGATTCAGTAGGAACAAGGAAACAGATACCCTGGCAAACATCTCTATAGGCTAATACTTTTCCTTCCCTGGAAGTCAGATTCCTAGGCTGTAGTGTTCTAGCCCTACCTCCTGGGAGACCGACTCCGACTCCTCCTGTAGCGCAGTGCAGGAGAGCGTCGTGGCTTGTCCAAGTCTCGGTAGCTTCTTCGTCGGTGATCCGGTGATGGTACTCTTTCCAGCTTGAAACAAGATGGATGAGTATTGGCTTTTACTAAAGGAAGTCACGCAAGAACACAGCTATGGTTCCCTCCCTAATCTGTTCCAATGGACATCTTTTAAATGACTCTACAATTGTGATTTGATTACATAAATGGGTAGTCTTAGTGACAAAAAGAATTACCAGGCGAGGTGGTGGTGGCGCACACCTTTAATCCCAGCACTTGAGAAGCAGAGGCAGGCGGATCTCTGAGTTTGAGGCCAGCCTGGTCTACACAGAAAAACCCTGTCTTAAAAAAAGAATTAACCAATATCAGCCTATGAATGTGAGTACAGTAGGAAAAAATAGTGCGAGCGGTGGTGGTGCACGCCTTTAATCCAAAGCACTCAGGAGACAGAGGCAGGCAAATCTCGGATTTCAAGGTCAAGCTGGTCTACAAAACAAGTTCTAGGACAATAAGGGACACAGAGAATCCATTCAGTCTTGAAAAAGGCTTATTTCCGTAAACAGGATATCCAGTGTCGGTGTCTCACAGTAACCTATAAGCTCCCTTGCAGGGGAACCCAACACCTCTGGTCTCTGAGGGCACCTGCATTCATGTGCACATACCCAGACACATACACAGAAATAGAAATAAGAGAGATAAAGAGAGAATAAAGAATGGAGCAAAAATAGGAAAGCCGCTACTGAAGAAGAGCAGAAGAGACATCTGCTGTTCTAAGTATCAAGATGTTGGTCAAGATGTACTAGGAAGCTATACAGTTGGGGCAGGGTCCTACTTGTACACATGTGCCAGCAGAAGAAAATGGTCATAGATGAATGACATTCACAACTTGGAATTGTGCCAAAGATAGAAGTGCAGTGGAGGAAAAGAGATTAAAAAAATAAAATAAAACAAGGGACAGGAATAGATAATTCCAAGTTGAGGAAAAATAGATTACTGTTTCTCCAATAGAAAATCTAATCTGAGGTTAACTTTTTAGTTTTGGAGGCAACTCTGGCTGTTCTGTTTCTGCATCTCTGGAAAGCGAGAATGAAAGGCAGGTGCTGCCATGTGCATCAAGGTTACCATTTCCTTTTATTTTCTTCTACCTCCCCCTCCTTTTTTTTTCTTTTGTTTTTTTGATACAGGGTTTCTCTTGTAAGACTTTAAGACAATCCTGAAGCCATTTTTGACAATTCTGAATCCTCTCAGCCTCTGTGCCATAGTGCTTCCCCTCCTCCCCTGGAACCAAAGACCTAACATCTACACTCGCACGTACTCAGTTCCTGAACAATTACCCATATACTTATGCTTTGTGGTTCAGTCCCCTGGGAAACGGGGTCAAAATGACCTCTTACCTCATCTGATCTGGCAACAGCTCTCCAGTCAATTATTGGTAATAGCCCTTTCAAATAAGCCAATCAGAATAGTCAAAGAACAACCCCCCTTGCTTCTGTGGCCCCTTTAAAAGTAGACTGTACCCGCTATTTGTGGTCCCTCTGCTTCCCGAATGCTGGGGGACCCTGTCATGACAGAATTAATAAAATCCTCATGCTTTTGCATCGGCTGTAGTGTGTGAAATGGTCTCTGGGGGCGACTCCTTCTCGGTGGTTGGACGCCAGAGTCCAACACTCTGTTTAACGGCACTGGCTGTCCTAGAACTCACTTTGTAGACTAGGCTGGCTTCAATCTCACTGAGATCCGCCTGCCTCTGCTTCTCAAGTATTGGGATTAAGGGTGTGCACCACCACCCACCCTTCTGGCACTTTCTAGGAATGTTTCCTAGAATTTAATTACAAATGCTTTAGAGCTCTTTTACTATAAGCTATTTCACGTTATTAATGGCTGCCTGATATCAGGTTAACAATCTGATTCCTCAGTCTCTGACAGTTGGGAGCTTGTTTTCAAGCTTTTCAGCACTGTGATTATAGTTCTGACAACATGGCTCTGCAGCAGCTAACTTCCCTCTAGAGGATGTTCAAGCCTTTCCCCCTAAATGTAATAGCTACCATACATTTGCAATTATGTGTAAATATACTCTGAGACCTTATACAGCAGTGTCCAGAGAAAAGTACTATTACCTTCGAGACTGGATTCAATCCCTCACTCAATGGGGGGTAGGGGCAAGGGGGATCATGACTGTTAGGCTCACACCACTGCTATGACAGAGCTGAGGCATTCAAGCCAAGGGATATTTTACTCTAAAGGGCATTATAATAAGAAGATAAACTCTCCTTTTTTGCGCACAGGGCTGTGTTCCTAGCATCCCTGAGGCAGATCTGAAATGGCTATCTAGCCACGTCCACACAATAGGGCCCTCCTTCTCCCCAAAATAATTATTTCATGAAGGATTTGAAGAGGCTGGGTGGTGGTGGCACATGCCTTTGATCCCAGCACTCAGGAGGCAGAGGCAGGTGAACTTCTGTTGAGTTTGAGGCCATCCTGGTCTACAGAGTGAGTTTCAGGACAGCCAGAGCTACATAGAGAAACCCTGTCTAGAAAAACAAACAAAACAAAAAAGTAATAATAAAAGGTTATCATTAATTTAAAACTTAAAGCTTGAAAAATAAGGGCTATTTCCTTTCTTCCTAGCCCTTAAAGCTTTCATATGCCTTACCTTCTCATCTTCCTCTTCCTCCTCTTCACTGGACTCTACGTCATCCATGTCCTCTTCTAGAGCACTAACTCGAGGCTCCAGTTGCTCAGCTTCCTCCAGTACATAGCGTTTCTACAGAGAACACAGTAAAGGTAAGTCACTGCTGCTTCCTCCAGTCCTGATGGCAACACTGAGCTTCTGGGGTTGACAGAAAGGCTGTGAAGCAACAGCTCAGGTATAGTAAGTCGTATTGCACCTCAAGACTTCCCTCAGAAGCTAATATCCCTGGCACGTATATGCTCTTTTAAGTTCCACTACAAATATAAACAATGCTGACGAGAACAGGCTCATTTTCAATTGGTTCTACTTCCTGTGGTCTTATAAGGTCACTAGAATGTCAATCAGTATCTATGTAGTCAAAAATTAACCTCAGGGCTGGAGAGATAATTTAGCAATGAAGAACAAACACTTGCTGCACTTGGAGAGGACCAGAGTTCAGTTTTCAATACCTGTCTACATGGTGGCTTACCAGCTCCAGAGGATCCATCCCAATGCCCTCTTCTTGCATTCTCTGGTAGGTGAGAACTGAATCTCAAAAATTGTGCTCTATGGGCTGGAGAGATGGCTCAGAGGTTAAGAGCAATGACTGCTCTTTCAGAGGTCCTGAGTTCAATTCCCAGCAACCACATGGTAGCTCACAGCCATCTGTAATGAGATCTGGTGCCCTCTTCTGGAATGTGGGCATACATGGAATCTTTAAAAAAAAAAAAATTGTCCTCTAGCCCTTACTTGCCTTGGTGAGCACTCTACTAATAATAATTAGTAAAAATAAAATTAATTGAAAAACAAATGTTTTAATTTTATAAAGACAAATTAGTTAATTTGTGTGATACATGTACATAAATGTATGAATATCTGTGCCCATGCTTACTTGTGGAAGGCCAGAACAGGACGTGGGCACCTTTTGTTGCTCTCCATCTTGCTGCATGGAGACAGTCTTTCCCTGAACTGGAAGCTTGCCATTTGGCTACGCTATCTGGCAAGGAAGTTTCCTGCCTGCCAAGCTTGGGCAGTGGGCACTTAGCAGCCATGCTTTTTACATTGGTGCTGGGGATTTGAATTGAGTCCTCATGTTTACAGAACAAGCACTCTTAACCATTGAGCCATTTTCCTAGCACAGACTTGTTTTGCTTTTTGGTATTTTTTGTTTGTTTGTTTTCACTGTTTTTTGAGATAGGGTTTCACAATGAAGGCTTGGTTGTCCTAGAACTATACAAGGATGGCCCCACATTTAGAGATTGCTTCCCAAGTTCTGCGATTAAAGGCTGTGCCCCAATCTTTTCAGTGGAGGCTTTTTTTTCTTTCAATACTTAAAAACTTTATCTGTGAGTGTGAGCACGTATGCCAAAGCAGAGGAAGACCTGTGTCATGGTTTGCCTCCACTCTGTCTAGTGCAGGGTCTTCTTCACTGCGTGTTGTATGAACTCCTGGCAGTTATCCTGTCTTCTTCCATCTCCCTAGTGGCCTGCTAGGATTACTGTGCAAATGCTCGCTCTGTGTGAGTTCTGAGGATCTGTACTCAGGGCGTTAAGACTTGTGCAACAAGTGTTTTACCGACTAAGCCATTTTCTCAGCCCTAAGGGTTTCCCTTTTTCTTTTTTTGTAGATAAGACTTCCTGTGTAGTCACTGGCTGTCTTGAACTCAACATCTGCATGCTTTAGCCACTGGAATACTAGTAATTACGGACATGTGCTATCCTAGTCAACTTGCTTTTTCTGACATACAATGAAAACTGTACTTTTTGTTTGTTTGTTTGTTTTTGTTTTTGGAGACAGGGTTTCCTGTGGCTTTGGAGCCTGTCCTGGAACTAGCTCTGTAGACCAGGCTGGTCTCGAACTCAGAGATCCGCCTGCCTCCCGAGTGCTGGGATTAAAGGTGTGTGCCATCACTGTCAGCAAAATTTAAGTTTTATTATAAAAATACACACTTGAAATTTTCACTACAATCAAGATAGTAAAATCTCTTCCATGCCTGTAAATTGTCCTGTAGGTCTCGTTTCGAGATGTAAGGGAGGAACAGGTGGAGACAGTCACTTAGCTTTCCTTTAGCTAAGACACTAAGCTGAAGCAAGAATAATAAAAACCTAGAGACAGATATTGGGGTTCAACCTGAAGATCAGAAAAGCAAAGCAGTCAGCCACGGGCTTTTATCTCTACCTCAGACCAAAAATGGGCGCGAGATCCTGTCCTGTCTCCACAAACCCTGAAGCCTACACCCCACTGAGTTCCTGTCTCTTCTTCCTTATATTCCTTCTTCACTCAGCCATATCACTCCGATCACTCCGGTCCCAACCTCCGTAGTGCTGGGATCACCCATGTGTGAGCTGTTTCTCTTTTAGACAAATTCAATCTTGTATATCCCAGGGTGGCCTTGAACTAACAGAGATCCAGCTGGATCTGTTTTCTGAGTCCTGGGATTAAAGGTGTGTGTCACCACTCCCTGGCCTGTACTGCCGACTAGTGTGGCTGCTTTGCCTTCTGATCTTCAGGAAAACTTTACTTATTAAAACACAAATAATATAGGACTAATATGAGCAGAATGATTTCTTGATTCCTTCCTTCATTGTCTCACTATGTAACCCTGGCTAGCTTGGAACTTTCTATGTAGATCAAGCTGGCTTTAAACTCATAGGAGAATTGCCTGCCTCTGCCTCCTGAGTGCTGGGGCTGAAAGAACGCACCACCACACCTGGCATATTTTCCTTTGAGTCAAGCTCCCCACCCCTGCTTTTTTTCTTTTCAACAGGAATTTCCCATGTTATAGATTGGGTTCTATAATAATACATGAACTCAGGTTAAATCCTTATCCAATCAACTCTCCATTACAGCACATTTCATTTAAGGTTACCCACCATATCTTTTTTCTCTTTAAAACTAAAAATGCAGTCTTAGCCAGACATGGTGGTGCAAGCCTATAATCACAGCACCTGAAGACAGGCAAGAGGACAACAACGTTTATATGGTCAGTTCCAGGCCAGTTGTTGCATATCAAGGCTATCAGAAAAACAAAACAAAGCAAGAACACCGGCCACCTCCAACCCTGAAGGGTGCTTCATGGATAGTCCTCACGGGACGTGAGGCAGGATGATAAACAAGATGTTTAAGGGATTGAATGGTCACATTCTTTTTTTCTGTTTCATAGCCTAAGCTCACCAGTTTGAGAAAAGGTACTCCAGCTATAAGACCTGTGATGATATATCCGGAAGAAGAAACGTTCTCTCTAGCTAGTCACTTCCAACGTCCTACCCCGGAAACATTCCCTGCTTCTACCTCATTCCCTTTCTTGTACAAAGTGTGACAGAAAGACTTTTTAAGAAAACCCTTCAGTGTTTTTAGTATGTACTTGTGTTTGTGTGGGAGGTAAAAGGTGACTCTATAGCAGACCCATGTCTCATACCTGTAGCCGGGGTAAAATGATATCACAGACCCTCTCACTGTGCAGAAGTTCATCGATGAACTCATCCACGTGCATCAGTTCAAACTCTGGAAGGTAAAACGATTAGTTCAAGCAACCTGGAAATGATAGACCTAGTTAACCAAAAAGTCAAAGAATCATGAAACTTTCCATGAAGCTCCCTACATGCTCACACCTCTTTATTTCCTTATCTTGGAGATGGGAACTGAACCTGGGGTCCTGTGCTTACCTAGCCAGTGCTCTGCCACTGAGCTAAATCCCCAACCTCTTTAAACATTTTTAATTATTTATTTTTTATTTACTGCGTGTGCATGCTCTTGCACAGTGCATGTGTGGAGGTTAGAGGGAAACTGAGTCGTTCTCTCCTTCAATCATCTGGGTCCCAGGCCTAAGTCAGACTCGACAGGAGGTGCCAGCCCAATCAAGCCTCTTTAGAAACAAGGAACTAAGAGATGAATAAGGCTGTTCCAATAATAAAAGATCAGCTGTGGGTATAGTTCAGTGGTAAGGAACTTGCCTTGTATATATGAAGTTCTAGGTTCAATTCCTATCAAACATCACAAAACAAAACAAAACAAAACAAAACAAAACAAAAAATTGGAGACACAAACATTAAAGCACAAATAGTGCTTTATGAATTATGTAGGATAACACTGAATGGATAAGTCAAGATTATATATCCAAAGTTAACACTAATAAGTCACTTAGTTGTAATTTCTCCCATTAACCTACAATGTCCCCGAATATATAATATTTCTATTTTAGGGGTCCGTGGTGTAGCCCAGCAGATAAGAGCACTTGCCACACAAGCCTGATCATCTGAGTTTGATCCCAGGAACCACAGTGGGAAAATATGTCCAATTCTTAGATTTATCTTTTGACTTCAACACATGCACCATAGCACATGTGCTTATTACAAACACAGACACACACAAGAAATAAAATATTAAAACAAAGAATATTTCATTTTTCACAGCACAAAAAGGACACGTTTTTTAGAATCCTTACTGCTATTATCTTAGTTTTATAGTTCTCAACAAGGGACTTTGCAGACCTCTGTCACCCCACTTAAAGGAGGTCTAGGTGTGTCCACTAGGGAAGGTACAGGGACGCTGCCTACATGTCGTCATGTGCAGACTACCAAAGCCTAAAATGTCAAGGCTTGGAGAAATCCCATCTTAGTTTACCACAATATAAGGAACTTGTTCAAAAATGACCACAGTCATATCCATCTGTTCACCATGTTGCTTCCAGTGCCTGGCATAACATCAATTCTCAATACACATTAGTTCAGTGAAGAAATATGATAAACAAGTTTAAAGTGCAATACAGATTGAGAAGGCCTAAGACAAAACAACTAAATCCTTAACGATCTTAAGTCTGAAACTTTTTTGAACATGGACATGACATTCACCACGTTTTGGATTTTGAAGAATTTGAGGTTTCTGACAGTTTTTACAACTATTGCAAAATCTAAAATGCACTAAAGCCTACAACACTCTGGCTCTAAGTCATTTTGAATAAGGAATATTCAACTTATATTAAATTTCAATCTTCTATATTCCTAAAAAGAAAGGTGTGTCTCCAATTAAGAGGTTCTGTTTGTATTACCACAAACCCTTTCTTAACATATAAGGTGTATCTCTGAGGGCAAGGCCTGGAGCTCAGTGGCAGAACACAGATCTCACATGCATGATGTGGTTCACTTCTCCAGTACGCACCCCCGCCCCCCAAACAAAGACAGGCATGGTCATGCACACCTGTAATTCCCATATTCAGGAGGCAGAGACCAGAGAATCAGAAGTTTGAAGTCCTCCTTAGCTACACAGTGTTGAAGGTCCACTTGGGCCACATGCCTTCAAGACAAGACAAAACAAAACCAGGGTGTATGTATAAAACATATAGAGATATCTCTGTCCTTGGATAAGCTTAGTATTTTCAGTGGAGTACCTACATGAACAACACAGGTCCATTTAGTCTACAAAGTATAACATCGAGTAGCCTACAGGGGAAAAAAGTGAAGCTGTGGTATTTGGAAAATGACTTTGGGCAGGCTAAGTCAGGTTTTATAGAGAGACCAATTTGAAGCTTCTAGACCTTGTGGATGGAGTAGGTGTGGAAGGTCAATCTGACGGGAAAGGGAGGCAGTCATGTGCACAAGGGTTCAGGCTAACCAGATGCTATGCGTCCAGTGAGGGAGACGGAGACAGCAACGATGCAGATGAAGAGGAGCATTCGGTGTTGGTGAACACGAGTGGAGACACAGGAGAATACAAGGGGCCGAGGAAAACAGTCTAGAGACTTGTACCATACTCACCCCCATTTCGGTTCTGGCTTTTGATTTTTCGATAGTCGTTGTATAAAGGCTCCAAGTACTTGTAGCAATCAATTGCAGTTCCTGTCAGCCGCATGTAAAGTGCCCCCAACATCCGGACATACCTAACAGAGAGAGGACATTGAAACAACAGGCCAGCCTAAGAGTTTCTGAGTTCTATAACTAGCTTTTCTCATGACAATATTAGATAAAAGTTTTCTGGTTTGGTTTTCTTGTTATCAGATAATAAAGCCATAATTTCTGGGTGGTGACAGCGCACACCTTTAATCCCAATACTCGAGAGGCATAGGCAGGCAGATCTCTATGAGTCTGAGGTCATCCTGGTCTACAGACTGAGTTCCAGGACAGCCAGGGTTGTTGCACAGAGAAACCCGTCTTGAAAACAAAACAAACAAACAAACAAACAAAAAGCCATAATTTTGAAGGTAGCATAGAAGAGATGATGGCTAAAATATGGAAACCCAATGAACTTCCTAATCAATTACTAGCTGTGGAGATTGGTATATGTTGCTCAACTTTCAGATATATCATGTGTAAAACTTCACAGAATTGGCTTAAGATTCCAAAAAGATAATAAATTTAGCAACACAAAGGTTTTTTTTTTTTTTTTTTTTTTTTTTTTTTTTTGTTTTTTCGAGACAGGGTTTCTCTGTGGCTTTGGAGCCTGTCCTGGAACTAGCTCTGTAGACCAGGCTGGTCTCGAACTCACAGAGATCCGCCTGCCTCTGCCTCCCGAGTGCTGGGATTAAAGGCCTGCGCCACCACCGCCCGGCAACAAAAAGTATTATATACATTTTATAACAATGTTAGAACAAGCATATATTGCTATAAATGTAAGTTCTGGAAAAAGGTCAAAGTCATAGAAGTTAAAATTCTGATTCCGTACATTACTTTGACAGCAGACATGTAACTTGTTTTCTCAACTTCTATAATGGAGAAGCCATAGCCTAACTAACTGCCTTGGTGCCATAAACAAACGTAAGGGAACTATATTAGGACACAAGCATGTTAAGTCCTTACAGCATAAGCTATTCTTCTAGTTATTTTTTTTTGGTAATATTTCTTCTTTTTCCTTATCTCATGTTTCTGAATCCTTACTCAAATCTCCATTTGAAATTCAAGCTTCATCACGGAAGAGCAGTATATAAAGAATATGCATCTGACACGAGTTGTACCTGTGGCCCAGCACTCGGGAGGCAGAGGACAGAGAACTGCCATAAATACAAGGTCAGTCAGGATACACCGTGAGGCACTATCTCAATTAAAGAACAAACCCAGAGCCCAGCATTTGTTCTACTACCAAGCTGTACCTCAGCCCCAGACCTGCCACTTAACTGTTGCCCGTCCTTAGGCAAACCACTTAACCATCTCTCTGGGCCTTAGCTTCTTCCCATGTAAAATGCCATCATATTTTTAAAGCAATAGTGTGAACACAAAATGAATCACTTTATATAAAGCCCCTAAAACAAATCATGGTACACGATCAGCTATTATACCTGGCTCTAAACGCCTAGAGAACGGATACTATGGAGCAGCTAATTTTCTTTGCCATGCGTCTGTAAGCTTAACAAATTAAAGGTAACAGTCAACAGGTGTCTGGATAAGATACCAGTCAAAGTCTGGATAAGATACAGCTCTAACCCGTTAACTAAAATCCTCTGTTGTGTGACCCCCCTCATCTATTGTCTACCAACATTTTTTTGAGATAGTGTGTGTGTGTGTGTGTGTGTGTGTACATGTACATATATTTGTGTATATTTATGTCATTTGTGAAATGCTTTTGGGGGAAGGGGAAGCTACCGAGACTGATGAAAGTAGAAGGTGTACGGAACCACGACAGTCAAAATACTAGTTCAAGAGCAAAAGCCTGCAATGACACACACAACACCCAGGCAGCTAACAAAGCCCAATTCTGAACCACTGAGAATTTTGCACTAGCCCACATTGTACTCACTTGAAATCTTCATTTTTTATGAACTCAACAATGATGTCTTTCTCAGGTTGAATCTGAAGCATCTTCAAGGTTAAACAGAGGAAAGGAGTTGGCTTTATGTTTCCACCATAGACACCACCCACAAACCTTAACTCCATGGCTTTGTCGACGACAAGTTCAGCTGAAATAACCAAATACAAATAGAGACATCTTAGATATAATATAGATCTTGGCTTTTCTTGGCTGGAAGGTGAAAACGGTTAAAGGTTTAGAGCTCCTAAATAGTCAGCAAGAATGTATTATTAGGAGAACAAGAGCGTATTGACAATAGTAATAGGGATGCCTGCCTGGAACTACCCCACTGAAGAAAGAAATACCCTTTATCCCAGCCCCCATCAATTGTAGTCCGTCAAGGAAGGGTGGGACTCGCGAGTCCCCAGTCTTTATCAAACAAATCGTGGAGAAAAGCGCCTGTCATGACCCCCCAGATGCTGAGCGGTGGTGCCGCACGCCTTTAAACGAGAGGCAGCGGCAGGTGGATCTCTGAGTTCGAGGCCAGCCTGGAATGTCTCAAAGAACCTAACGAAACCCTTCAGCATCAAGAAAGACCCTGTCAGATTTGTCTGTGTCCTGTCTAGTGCAAGTCTAGGCACCGAGCAGTTTATGTGAAGGGCTGACATACTCTTCTCCAGGACTAGCACCCGAAGGTCTATCTTTCCTCACTGAGTCAGAAGAAACCAGCCGCAAGCCGAGACGCGGGTCGCGCGTGGTCACTCACCCGTAAGTCCAAAGCACTCTTCTTTCCAGTACTTTGATTCATAGATTCGCGTCCGAATGATCTTCTCCACCAGATACTGAGGGTTGGTGCCATGGATGCTGTGCGCATCCTTGACCGTACGGTTCGCCATTTTAGAACGCTTTCAATTCTATTTCCGTCGGCTTCTTCAATACGTCACATCCAGGTTTCAAAAAAGACGTCTGGCGGCTGGAGAAGCGCTTCTAACAGCAGAAAGCGAACAGCTTGGAACCGGAAAGTGCGGCGCAGAACAATTTCCCGGGACTGCGCACGGCTGGCGGCAGAGCTGGCGGAAGTACGTCATGAGCCCTTGGTGGGCGTGGCGAGGTGGTTGGGAACGCCAATCGGAATCAGGCTGTGGGCGGGGTTACGGCTAGTGGCGCGAAAACTTTCCAGTCCTCCCTCGGCGCGCGCCGAGCTTACGTGGTGTGGCCGGCTGTACACGGGGGAGACCAGCTCGGCCGGGCGAGCGCTGTGCAGCTCCCCGAGGATCTGAACTGGAAGCGGTGGGAAGTGCAGGGGAGCGGACAGACCTGGCAAGCTTCGGCGTGGTGAGTGCGGCTCCCGGCCTGCCGGGCGTTCTCCACAGTCTCACTGATTTCTTTCCCTACACGTGCACCAAGAGCCTGTAAAGTGGCGGGCACTATCCTCAGCGGACAGACCCTTCTTGCCCCACCGCGGTCCTGGAATACTTCCTGCTTTGCGGAAGCAGGCAGCCCACTGCGGAGAAGTGGGTGTGGCCTGCCCTCTGGCGCCTAAGAGTTTGGCTTTCCGCGTGCCCTGCCTCCGATAAACACTCGCGTCCTTTTCCCTGGAACGGGAGCTGACGCTGTTATCCGCTTTACCAACTAGTGTTTGCGTCCATAGAGAGACTTTCTGTAAGTTACTTCTTGTGACTTGGGCGTCCCGGCCTTCTCAGGACTCCTCCAAATGGTGGGCTTTCAACCCAATCACAGAAGAGGTCTGATGGTCCGCTTTCTACTTTGTAAGGGTCTAGCTTAAAGCCGAATGCCCTTCTCTTGTAACAATTGTTGAAAGTGGGGTTCTAAGGCTTGAGATGCGAGATTCCTGCTCAGGATTAGTACGGGTAAAACTGCAGTGATAAGGCCATTTTAGTTGTCCTTAGAAGTCGAATGATTATACTTTCTTTTCCTATTTTGTTTTTTTTGAGACAGGATTTCACTGTTGCTCTGGCTGACCTGGAACTAACTTGTAGATCAAGCTGGCCTTGATCTCAGAGCTCGCCTTCCTCTGCCTCCAGAGTGCTAGGATTAATGGCAAGCACCACCACCAACCCCCGGCTTAATTTTTTAAAAGCTGTATTAGAGGGCAATGTTTGGATGTTGAGAGATTTCTGAATTCTGTGAAATTGAGTTCAGTGTTTTGCATTGAACTGTGAATTACACAACTTCAAGAAAGCAGCATCATCAGATTTAGGATCACAAGCTGTGCCCTAACACGCCAACTTCTGCCACTTGTCCTCAACATTCCAATTAAAAGAGCCAAATTAGGATCTCCAAATTGATACATTCAATATTGCCCCTTGACATTAAGCTAGAACCCAGGAACTCGGAGTTTGGAAGGAGAAAACCTGCTTCTGTTGGTTGTCCTCTGCCTCCACATGTGTGCTGTGGCACTGGGTAAACACACACACACAAAATTAAAAAAAATCTTTCTCTTGAGACAGTGTTTCTCTGTATAACAGGCCTGAGTGATCTGGAACTCACTTTTAGACCAGGCTGGCCTCGAAGAGATTCATCTGTCCCTGCCTCCTGGATGCTGGGCTTAAAGGTGTGTGTCGCTTCCACCTAACAAAAAAAAATTGTTTTCCTCCGAGACAGGGTTTCTCTGTGTAGCTTTATACCCTGTCCTGCAACTCTCTCTGTAGACCAGGCTGGCCTCGAACTCACAGAGATCCTCCTGCTTCTGCCTCCTGGATGCTGGGCTTAAAGGTGTGTGTCGCTGTCACCTAACAAATGTTTTAAAGGCCAAGTTAATAGTGAAAAGCAGAAAAAAGATTTCTTCAGTATTGCCACATTGGAGAGAGAGAGAGATCCAGTGGCCCAGTCCTGTCTCATTCCATAGTCTTGATCCTGATGTGAGGGTAAGATTTAAAAGGCAAGAAACTGGGCGGTGGTGGGGCACGCCTTTAATCCCAGCACTTGGGAGACAGAGGCAGGCGCATCTCTGTGAGTTCGAGGCCAGCCTGGTCTACAAGAGCTAGTCCAGGACATGCTCCAAAGAAACCCTATCTCCAAAAACAAAACAGGCAGGAGATGTACCTTAACTAAGCAGTCTGCCAAAGGTGCGCTCCCCACATTTGCCTCTGACAAGTCCCTGCTCCTGTTTTCCCTACCTTCAGTCTTCCCCAGGTGGAATTTCTGGGGCAACTCAAATTTTAGGATAGATGTGGTTTGGCATGCATTACTTTCCCACCTTATTACTGATGATCTTAGAACAGTGCTTAGCACATAGGCTTCAAGTACTAATGATTGAATAGAAAAGATACTCTTCTCTCCGTTTTGTGGGTTAGGAAATTGAAGCTAGTGGACTTGTCGTTGGGAAATCTAACTTACTGTAATAAGCTGGCAGAAGTAAATGCTCTGACGTTATGCTGTCTATTACTCACTTACATATAAGGTAAGGTAGTTTAAGAACAGTCAGTGGCATCTGGCTGTTCTAAATTACGAGTTGTGGCTGTATTATCGGTAAAATTGGGCCTGTTACCGTACCAAGATAACACCTACTTTTGATTGGCAAATACTTACTGAGGATCTACTATGACTATTATGTATATTGTTCTCTGGGATTATTTTTTAATAATTAAGTGAGATACGTCAAGAGTTTTGGCTCAGCTTTTAGTGAGGTTTTTTTTTTTTGTGCCTTTGTCTTGGGTGTGGCTTCCGTCCTAGGTGCTATGTGTATTTCAGATTTCTGGTATCTGTGACATCAAGACCTTGCAGCGGGTATCTCCAGAAGTCAAACCCTTCTTTTGGCCAAGCCAGGCCTGGCTTTGCAGTTGGTTTACCGTTCCTTTGCTGACTGTGATGAGGTGGCGGGTGGAGGGTGAGGCGGAGCAGTTCATTGAACTGTGTATTACTACGTCATTCCTCGGTTCTGGAAAGAAACCACCATAAGCATAGCCGGGAGCAGGCCTTTTGTGCGGTAGCCATCTGATTTGGCATCTTTTCATTTCGTGTGTGCATGTGTTTGTCAACTTTCTGTTTCTATGACAAAATATTCAGAAAACCTAAAACACGGAAAGATTTATTTTGGCTCACAATTTCAGACATTCTGTCTAGGGTCCCTAACATCCTAACAGAAGAAAGGGTCAGGACAAGATAAAACTCCCCAAAGACTTGCCCCTAAGAACCTACTCCTTGTACATAAGTCCTCCTTTATACTTCTTGTTTTTGCTGTGTTTTAACCTGTGTGTTTGCCCACTTGTATGTCTGTGCACCAAGTGCTTAGAAGAGGGTGTTGGATCCCGTTGAACTGGACTTAAATATGGTTTTAAGCTAGCTCATGGGTGCTGGGAACTGAACTCGGGTTTTCTACGGGAGCAGCAGTTGCTCTTACCACTGAGCCCTCTCTCCGTCCCCCATTTCCTGGATTGTAAAAGACTTCAGAGTTCCTATCATCTCCCAAATAGCCCATCAAGTCATGAACCTGCCAAGAGGTCAGCTTCTCTAGGAGGCAGCAGGTGACCTTTGGGAAGATTTCAGGTCCAAGCCACAACAGTGATGTTGTATTAATAGTTGGATTAATTTTGTTGCTCTATACTACTAATAGGAACATTTTGGTTTGTTGTGTCTTTTCATGGTGTGTATGTATTTCTGATGTGATATATATATATCACATATATATGAATTACTGAGTCATAGAGTAGACATATGTCTAAGAATTTACAAAAAAAAGTGTTTTTTGTTTTGTTTTTGTTTTTTTTTTTTTGTTTCCCAAAGTGGATTTTTATTGTTGTTTCGTTTTTGAGGCAAGGCCTCAATGTATCACCCTTGGTGCTCTGAAACTCTATATAGATCAGGCTGTCTCTAAACTCAAATTCACCTATCTCTGCTTCCCAACTGCTAGGGTTAAAGGGCCATCATGCCTAAATGCTGACCAGTTTAAATGCCATTTATCTTAAAGTTAGATCATTGGAGGATTATATAAGTTTTGATGGAACAGTAATTTGTTACAAATCACTCAATGATATTCCTATTTTATTTAAATGAGTACTTGCTGAATATTACAGTTTACTTGAGTCTTTGCTTTATATTTCAGAGGCATTTGCATGACTTCGTTGTAGAAAGCTGGGAGAAGTTAGAAGATTATTTCTGACAATTGTGTGTTGCATCATCCATTAAAAAGAATATATATTGAAAGTAAGTGTTGAGATTTTCCTTAAACATTTGTATGGATTCAAGCACATTCACTAATTTTTACCAAAAGGTAAAAAAGTACAAATCCAATTTTATTTTTCTCTCGAGCAAGTCCTTAATGTATGTTTGCTCACTCCTTCCCCCAAGTACTGGGGATTAAATCTAGAGCCACAAACATAGCTGTGCAAGTGGGTACCCCTGTGACCCATAACCCCAGCCTTTTTACAGCTTGAGATAGCATCTTTGAACTCAGTCTGCCTGAGAGGCCTTGAACTTGGTGATCCTCTTTCCTCAGACTCTTGAATAGTTAGGATTATGTCTTTATGCTACCCAGCCTGGCTTCTTTGTTCTTTGCTTATGTCTACCTTGTATTCAATTTAAATTGGTTTATTTTAGTAGCACAGCCAAAGCAGTACAAAATAGTGACACTGGTAATGTGTTGTGAATTATACTCCACATAATCATTACACAATGATTTCTGCCTGTTTTATCATTTTGTTTCTGAGTCAGGGTCTTGGTCTGTGTAGCCCTGGATAACCTGGAATGTGTTGTGTAGACCAGGCTGTACTGGAACTCAGCAGAAATCCTTTTGTCTCCCCCCTCCCAAATGCTGAAGTTCAAGGCCATCACTCAGCTGTCTCTTCTCCCTGCCTCCCTCCTGAGGTCTTTGCAAAGCTAATTTTTATTCAAAGTATAAGGGAGAAAGCAGACTCCTTGCAACAGGAAGGGGTCCAGAGCCAGAGTCCCTTTTTCATCTTATATACGTGGTTTATTTACTCTAAATACCTCTAGTGATATTTTATTTATGGTTTAATAAATAAAGCTTGCCTGAAAATCAGAAGGCAAAGCAAGCCATCAGAGGCCAGGCAGTGG